CACACATGTTTATGCCTCTGCACACAGCAACACATGGCTATGGCTTTGGGAAGGAGAATGGGAAATAGTAGGAGATGGAAATGGGTGAAGAGAGGAGCGTTTGCCTCATTAACAGCAGGAGAAACACAGGACAAGAACCTTATCTTATTGGGGTTCTCAGGAGATGGCAGGACCATTTCAGGATAAGGTGGGATGGTGAGAAAACGGTGATCCAAAGAGAAAAGACAGGCAAGCCTCACCCCATCCCTCAACTGGGATCTGGGTGGTGCCCCTGGGGCAGTTCATTTCTCAAAGCCCAGAGAATTCGGGCCCCAGAAGGGGGCAGCTCCAGGCTGTGGAGAGCTGGGAGTTATGAGGGAGGCAGATTAGAAAGAGAGCAGGGTGCTAACGGCCAGGCCACCAAGCTGAGAGCTGGAGGGGAAGTGAGGCGCGTACAGTAACTGTGTAAGGAGCAACCCAGCCTTGCTTTACTCCCGGCAGCTTCTTCTCAAGATCCTTCCCTAGAACTGGTGTAAGGCCTGCAGAACTCGCCAAGACCTTGCCCTTGTGGGTTCCTCTCCTGGATCTTTGGAGGTGAGAGGGTTGCTGCTTCCAGGTTCTCAGGATACTGAAGTCCCGCTATTCCTCCCCAGTAAACGGGGTTGTGAGAAGCAAGGACAACTTCCCTCCCTTGCAAGTCCCTTGTGGCTCACAAGTTCCCTTAAGAAGAGGCTGTAGGATTCTTCCTTCTCCCACATCTTCCTCGGCCTTGTCTTCCCTGCTCTGCTTTTTAGAATTGCAACTAATTGCTTTAAGGGGCGAGGGAGGGGAGGAGCCTGGGGACACAAACCTTTTTTACAATACAAAGCTTTGCTCCCCCCAACCCTTTCCTTGGTTTCCTGCTCTCTTGGGAATGTTTGGAGACAAGTCAGCTGACGGAGGATGGGGATTGGGACAAGGTCCCTTGGTGCTGATGGGCTGAAGGGGCCTGAGTGGTGGGCAGACGCAGTTTCCTGCTGGCTCTGGGGAGTCTCTCATGTTGCTGTGTCCTGGTGAGCAGCCTGACCAATAAACCTGCTTTTCTAAAAGGATCTGTGTTGGATTGTAGTCTCCAAAGGCAGTTATATAGGATGAGTTACAGAGGACAGGAGGGAGCCATGAAGGGAAAGAGGGAGGGAGGGAGGGGAAAGAGAAGACTGTTTGTTTAAACTTGCCTCACTTGCTTGGAGGTGTGTGTGTTATTACCATCTTTATTGTAGAGATGAAGAAACAGAGTGACTTGTCTAAGGTCACGTAGCTGGTAAGTGGTGGAGCCGGGATTCTAAGCCAAGCATCCTGGCTCCACAGTCTAACTGTTGTAGTCTGTGCAGTCTGGATCCACTTCCCAGCTGTCAGGGCATTGCCCTCCAGAAACGCCCAGTTAACCTGAGCTCCCCCCAAATACATACCTCAGAATCATAGGCCTAGAGGAGGCAGTTTCAAGGAGAGAAAAATCAGAGGCCCTGACTCAGAGGACTGAATGTCATAAGGAAAGGATTCCAGTGCATGTTATATGCCAGGCAGAGCCACACGGCATAGTTAATTCTCCCCATGACCCTGGGATGGGCGCCTATTTTGTTGTTTGTGCAGCCTCTCTTCCCTGTGAGCAGTCTGCCCCATCTTCCCACAGGTTATGGATTTCCTAGAGCAATGGACTCAAATCATCATGTGAGTTCTGCCGGCATTAGAATCACCTGGGAAGGAGTGTTCCTAATAAGTATGTCGTTTCTGAGGTTCTATCTCAGCTTCCTGCCACTACCTCATACAAGCTGGGTCTTTCCTAATGAGCCACACATTCTCCTTCAACTCCAAGGCCCTCAACCCCAGAGTCCAGAGTTCTAAATCCCCCAGAAAGGTTGGTTTCCCACCAAAAGAAATAGAACCTGAAAATTCAGAGACTGGGGCCAGGAAACTTCCTTCTGATTATATTAAATTTTAATCCTCCAGGATATAGAACATGCTTTACAATTTAAACACCTTCCTTTGACCAAAGGGTTAACTCCTTGGCATGGCTCACAAGTTCCCTTAAGAGTTCTGTCCCTGCTCCAGTTCTTACTGCTTTTAATATGCTCTTTAGGGAGCCTAGTGGCCAGAAATGGGCCTCAAAGTTTTAGGCCTTTGGGCCTTTGCTCAGGCTGTTCCCTCTCTCTGGAATCACCTTTCCCTTCCCACCTTTCCTCTTAAACCAACCTCTTTCCCACCTCCACTCCAGTCATACTAATCACTTCCTTTTAAGGGCTCCCATAGAACTTTATCTCAATAAACATTTATAAAATGAGTAAGTGAATGAATGAATGAATTATAAGGCTCTTTCCATTGCAAGTGTCATAAACTCACCTCAAACTGGCTTCAACAGAAACAAAACAAAACAACACAACCAAAACTGAAAACAAAGAGGGAATTAGTGTAACTGAAAAAGTTCCCAGCTCAGCCAGTGCTGCTCAGTTGGTTGAATGTCATCCCATGACCCAGGTGGTCGCAGGTTTGATTCCCAGTCAGGGCACATGCCCAGGTTACAGGCTCCATCCCCAGTAGGGGGTGTGCAGGAGGCAGCCAGTTGATGTTTCTCTCTCTCTCTCCCTCTCCCTTCCTCTCTCTGAAACCAATAAAAACACATTAAAAAAAAGTTCCCAATAATAGGTCCAGGGGTGTTTGGATGCAAGTTCTAATGTAATATCATTAGGAATTTATCTCTCTTTCCCACTGCATTTGTTTCATTAAGAATCAGATTTTTCTCATGTGTTGGCAAATATGACCATCAATAGCTGCAGGCTTATGGCTTAACAGCTGAACAAATCCAACAAAGAGGGTTTCTTCCCAAATCCTTCCAGCCAGAATCTCAGCTATGGTGCCCATTGGCTCTGATAGGTTCACATATTCAAATCACTGTGCCTCTGACCAAATCTAGGTCTTGTACCACTTTTAGAACCCATCTGAAGTATGGAATTGAGCATGAAGATAGGCTGATTTCCCAAAGGAAAGTTGGGTTGCTGTTATCAATAGAAAGGGGAGAGGATGACGGGCTGACAAGACAACAGATGTTCTTTCTGAATGATCTGTTTGTGATACTGTGCTAAGAGTCAAGAGACTAAAAAGACAACAGATCTAGGTCTTGAATTTAAAGGATTTACTGTTAGTGGGAGAGACAGATGTTCACAGCAACTCAAACAGGTGACTGTGAGAGTTAGAGCAAAATGCAATGATAACACACTAGGGAGGGATTAATCCTGCTTGGGGAATACGAGAAAACTTAAAAGAGGGAGGGAGCTTCTAAGTTGTGATTCTAAATCTGGGTAGAGTTTCAAATAGGTTTTGCTGCAGGGCAGAGATAATATTTTACTTGATTTTTTTGTGTCACCAGAGCCTAACAGTATCTCAAATATGATTGTATCGGTTAATGTCATTTGGATGAAAGTATAAGAAAAGGACATTGGCCAAAAGTGAAAAAGGAACTTATATTGGAAGGCTGCCAAGATATCCCACCGAGTCCAAGGAATTGCTGAGCAGCCAGGCTGGAAAGAGTAGGAATCAGGGGATCTCCAGGGACTTCTGAGAGGGAGTTGATGGATGGCCCTCTCTAAAATGTTGACATTAACGGAACCCAGGCTCTGTGCCTCTCAGTTTCAAATTCCAAGTTACTGGCAGAAAGAATCTGATTAAGCCAGTTAACATCAGTGTTCACCCTGGATTTAATAATCTATGGCCAAGAGGACAGGATCATGTTGTAGAGAAGTGGCGGGAGGGACCCATTCCAATGTATAAGTTTGGGGAGGGGAGGAACGATTCCCAGGAAAGGACCACTTGAGACAGGCAAGACCCAGGAGATATCTATTGAAAAAGTGGATATTCAATACATGTTAATTAAATGAAAGCAGTGATATGGGACAAGGAAGGTTCTTCAGGCAAAGAAAACAGCATGAAGAAAAACAAAGAAGTGGGAAAACTAAAGGCATGGCTGAAGAATAGTTAATAGAATTATGGAATGCAAGAACTAAAAGAGATCTTTTTTATAGATGAGGAAACAATCATTTTACAGAGAAAGTTGCTGCAATCCCAGGAGAGAAAGTAACTTATCTATATCTAATAAGACTCAGCATAAAACTTATAAGAAAGATGCTCCTTGAAATGCTAAGAATAGATGAGTGCCAAGGGAGGGAGTTAGGAAGAAAAGAGAATGGAATTTAGAATTAAAGGCCTGAGTGCCCTCCTTTAGGGGATGATGGAAGTTAGAGGAGCAGCAAAGTAACCTGTGGGATGGTCAGGGAGGAGGCAGGGCACTTTTATAAACATTATCTCAGGTAATTCTGACCTGTATTGGATGTTCCTCTGCTCACAGAAGTCCCTGTCCCCTCCTTCCAGGGCTGTGTCTCTGTAGGGTGACCAAGACCCCCATCCCTGTCCACAGCTGCTTTGTCATGGATGGATATCTGGTCCTGTCTGGGCCAATGAAATCTTCTCTGCCAGCAATTTAGAATTTTTAGCCAACAGACTAGAGACTGAACATTTTTATTAGCAGCCTCAAGTCA